AAAACAATGATAAATATGAAAAGAAAGAGAATGTGATGAAACAATGATAAATATAAAAAGAAAGAGAATTCTATAAAACAATGATAAATGTGAAAAGAAAGAGAATAAGTTTCATGTTAACATCAGCACCATGATCAACTAAGAATTGGACAATTTCTATCGATTTCACTTTGATGGCAATACTAAGAGGGCATTCATTAATATCGAGAGAATTTCATAAAACAATGATAAATATGAAAAGAAAGAGAGTGTTATAAAACAATGATTAATATGAAAAGAAAGAGAATTCCATAAAACAATGATTTATATGAAACAAAAAAGAATGTTATAAAACAATGTTAAATATGAAAAGAAAGAGAAATTCATAAAACAATGATGAATATGAAAAGAAAGAGAATTTCATAAAACAATGTTAAATATGAAAAGAAAAAGAATTATATAAAACAATGATAAATATGAAAATAAAAAGAATGTAATCGAACAATGATTAATATGAAAAGAAAGAAAATTCTATAAAACAATGATTAATATGAAAAGAAAGAGAATTTCATAAAACAATGTTAAATATGAAAAGAAAAAGAATTATATAAAACAATGATAAATATGAAAATAAAAAGAATGTAATAAAACAATGTTAAATATGAAAAGAAAGAGAATTATATAAAACAATGATAAATATGAAAATAAAAAGAATGTAATAAAACAATGTTAAATATGAAAAGAAAGAGAATTTCATAAAACAATGATTAATATGAAAAGAAAGAGAATAAGTTTCATGTTAACATCAGCACCATGATCAACTAGGAATTGGACAATTTCTATCGATTTCACTTTGATGGCAATACTAAGAGGGCATTCATTAATATCGAGAGAATTTCATAAAACAATGATAAATATGAAAAGAAAGAGAGTGTTATAAAACAATGATTAATATGAAAATAAAAAGAATGTAATCGAACAATGATTAATATGAAAAGAAAGAAAATTCTATAAAACAATGATTAATATGAAAAGAAAGAGAATTCTATAAAACAATGTTAAATATGAAAAGAAAGAGAATTATATAAAACAATATTAAATACGAAAAGAAAGAGAATATCATAAAACAATGATTAATTTGAAAAGAAAGAGAATTCTATCAAACAATGATTAATTTGAAAAGAAAGAGAATGTGATGAAACAATGATAAATATAAAAAGAAAGGGAATGTAATAAAACAATGATAAATATGAAAAGAAAGAGAATAAGTTTCATGTTAACATCAGCACCATGATCAACTAAGAATTGGACAATTTCTATCGATTTCACTTTGATGGCAATACTAAGAGGGCATTCATTAATATCGAGAGAATATCATAAAACAATGATTTATATGAAACGAAAAAGAATGTCATAAAACAATGTTAAATACGAAAAGAAAGAGAATATCATAAAACAATGATTAATTTGAAAAGAAAGAGAATTCTATCAAACAATGATTAATTTGAAAAGAAAGAGAATTCTATCAAACAATGATAAATATAAAAAGAAAGGGAATGTAATAAAACAATGATAAATATGAAAAGAAAGAGAATAAGTTTCATGTTAACATCAGCACCATGATCAACTAGGAATTGGACAATTTCTATCGATTTCACTTTGATGGCAATACTAAGAGGGCATTCATTAATATCGAGAGAATCCAATAAAATAATGATAAATATGAAAAGAAAGAGAGTGCTATAAAACAATGATTAATATGAAAAGAAAGAGAATCCAATAAAACAATGTTAAATATGAAAAGAAAGAGAATATCATAAAACAATGATTTATATGAAACGAAAAAGAATGTCATAAAACAATGTTAAATACGAAAAGAAAGAGAATATCATAAAACAATGATTAATTTGAAAAGAAAGAGAATTCTATCAAACAATGATTAATTTGAAAAGAAAGAGAATTCTATCAAACAATGATAAATATAAAAAGAAAGAGAATATCATAAAACAATGATTAATTTGAAAAGAAAGAGAATTCTATCAAACAATGATTAATTTGAAAAGAAAGAGAATTCTATCAAACAATGATAAATATAAAAAGAAAGGGAATGTAATAAAACAATGATAAATATGAAAAGAAAGAGAATAAGTTTCATGTTAACATCAGCACCATGATCAACTAGGAATTGGACAATTTCTATCGATTTCACTTTGATGGCAATACTAAGAGGGCATTCATTAATATCGAGAGAATCCAATAAAATAATGATAAATATGAAAAGAAAGAGAGTGCTATAAAACAATGATTTATATGAAACGAAAAAGAATGTCATAAAACAATGTTAAATACGAAAAGAAAGAGAATATCATAAAACAATGATTTATATGAAACGAAAAAGAATGTCATAAAACAATGTTAAATACGAAAAGAAAGAGAATATCATAAAACAATGATTAATTTGAAAAGAAAGAGAATTCTATCAAACAATGATTAATTTGAAAAGAAAGAGAATTTCATAAAACAATGTTAAATATGAAAAGAAAAAGAATTCTATCAAACAATGATAAATATGAAAAGAAAGAGAATAAGTTTCATGTTAACATCAGCACCATGATCAACTAAGAATTGGACAATTTCTATCGATTTCACTTTGATGGCAATACTAAGAGGGCATTCATTAATATCGAGAGAATTTCATAAAACAATGATAAATATGAAAAGAAAGAGAGTGTTATAAAACAATGATTAATATGAAAAGAAAGAGATTATAATTTTTGTTGATATCAGCCCCATTAGAAATCAAACACGAAGCAACGCTATAATTACAAAAATACATGCTTTCTGCTATTGAATCAGGAGTTTGACGAAAATTTGATTTAAGGTACTCAGCAATTTCATAGTTTCGATAATCCAATGCTGTATTAATCATCTTATCAAATGATATACCATCTTCTATCATTTGCATAAAAATGTTTTCATTTCCACCTTGAACAGCATATCTTTCGGAGTATGTAGTGTATTGAGCTCCTAAATTTTTCAAGTAATTGAAACACAATTCTGATCCATATTTAATTGCCCAGTCAAGTGGTGTGATTTTATTAATTTCCTCATCAATATCAAGATTTGGGAATTTACTCTTAAGATCATCAACTTTATCCCATGCAATATAGTATAAAGGAGATTCTTTTGAATATAAATTCAGAATTTCATCTTCTTCAATTTCAGGTTCGAAGTTTTCGAATTTGAAACCTTGATAATGTAGAAGAGTAGCTAATTTATTATTTTGCGGTTTATAAATGTATGAAAATGCGTTTAATATCTTTTGATAAAGTTCTGAAAATAATTTGATTTCTTTAACACGAATTTGTGAAAAAATGTCTATGAAATAAAGTGCCATTTGGATATGTATTTTGTGGGTTGTTATTAATTCGATAATTTGTGAAGATATTTGTATAATATTATTGCAATTGACGCCCCAAATAATTTTTGATGCTTGATCTGGGTATTCGAATACATTAATTGGCTTAAGGTCGCTGTAATTGCGCCAATTTTCATTTTTTGGCTCTGAACTTGTCATTCTTTTTGAAAATTTTGGTTGTGGCACTTTTAAGGGTGGCATCCGACCAAATTGTCACTTTCTAACCCAAGCGAGAAAATTTCGTAATTTATAACCAAGTTTTTTAAAATCTATATATAATGCTTCACTAACATGACAAAAATTATCCCTACAAATCCACATAAATTAAAATAAACATTTTTATAAAAACATTTTTCGAATTACCTCAGACTTTTCAGAGGATTGAGTGACAACTCAATCCTCTGAAATAGCCTGTGATAATTCTTAGTCTCTACACTATTTCAATACAAGATTTTTTTGCCAATCACTCCAAATCACTTGATTTTATGGATATATGTCAAGGATCACACATAATTAATAATAATATTTTTTATTTTCAAAAAGGTACTTTTAATGGGCCAAAAATTGAAAATTTTTAATTTCTCTAGTTTCTAGCCAGAATCAATATAGAGTTCATATGCAAAAAGTGAAACTACTATGGTGTGGAAAAAAATATCAAAGTTCCCCACTTAAACACTATATATATATACAAGCTCCATTTTTAAACATTTTTTTAAAAATCGAGTATTGAAGAAAGTGTTGAAACCCTCAATTTGTGGGAAAAGTTCTCAATTTTGTGGTCATTTCATCTTATCACGTGGTAAGTTTTTATAAAACTCTTTATTTTCCATCGAAAAGTATAGGAAGTATTTGGTATTTATACATTGATTTTGAGCAAATATGATAAGTAATTCCGGATTTCATCACTTAGATTTAATAGATACGTGTTTTGCTGAATAGAAAAGATAGATTTTTGTACCTATATTGAATACCTTAAGTATTTTTGATATTAATTCAAAAAACAGAGACGAGATAGATACAATTAATGTAAAATTCATTTTTTTCATTCATTATTTCTCTACCAAATAAAGACATCAGACTATGCAAACTTTGTTGTAAATACTTGTCTTTACATGTCAATTATGAAATTATTTCTAATCGCAATTCAAAATCTCTTTCCTCAGATCATTATTGATCCAACTCATAATTTTGATCAGAAAAATCTAAATCCATTTTTTGACATCGCCTTTCGTAAGAACTTTATTCAGGATCTTGAAGATGAAGTATGAAAAGAATCATTCCATTTGAATCATTATGTTTAAGAGTATAACGCATGCAAACTTATGCAAATTAAATGAGGAATTGCGTATTTTATAAAAATGTATTGTGATTTCAAATAAATCAAACTATTTTCTCACAAAATCTATAACACTTGATACCGAAAGTCTGAAAGAAAACCTTCTGTAAATTCTGACTGAAGAATACATAAATAGGATTCGGGTAAATGACGTATCATTTCCAATTTAGCGGTAAAACATAATTTACTCTATACTTTATAAAGAAAAGGATTTATAAACAAGAAAATATAAAAAATCTGAGCGAAATCTCTTGAAGATATACATTCTTAAGCTTCATTATCTGAGTCATTAAAATATTTTGATTTAAACAAGTCTAATCTTTCAGATAATTCAGGATCATTTTCTTCATTTTCAAATTCATCAAGATAATCATTGATTGATTTATCAAAGAACATTTGTCGCATCTCCTTAAGTTGAGAATCGCTTTCTGCCATAGCAAATAACTTTTCACAAAGTGCCAAAGCTCCCATTCGTATTTCGTCATTAGAATATTGAATTCCTCTTTCTAGCCATGCGAAAGCATCCATTTTTGAAGGATCAACTAATATATCAAGACTAATTTGTTGAGAATTCATGATTTCGAAAATAAGAGTTATAATTAATGCATTTTGGATATACTGACCTCCATATTTGCTCTCTAGTTTCCCTTTTAGATTAGCGATAAAATCTAAATCAACTTCTGTTTTGTGAAGATAAGTTTGTAAACAAAAAATAGCACAAGAGAAATCACCAATTACGAAAGGTTCAGAATCTAATAATAAAATGATTTCATCAACATTAAGATATTGTATTTCTCCTTCAAGCTTGAAATAATTAAATAAAAATGCACAACAAGCTGATTTAATGCTAGGATATGTTGAATGCAAGCCTTGATATATTATGTTTAAAGTATTTTCTTGGCTAGGATTCATAATTAAAAATTTATTTTGTTTCATTAATTTGATTAATGTCCATATCAATAAGTGATCACATTCCATATCCAATTTCAAATCAATTGAACATATTGCAATTTCACAAAGACCTTCTGCAAACTGATTTTCTAAATTATCACTTGCAAAATTATACAAAAACTGACAGTATTCGCTACGAGTTTCAAATATTTCTTGAATGGGATATGAGGCGAGCAATTTTTGCATTGTTTCATGGACTAAATTGAGATTTATTGTGTTTGATAAATATTGAATGATATCTTTCTGTACAAATAATGAATTTAAGCAAATGATAACGTATTTAAATAGTTTCTCATCTTGGCTGCTTAATATATTTGATATTATTTGCGAAAAAGAATGATTTTCAAGAAACTCAACAGTATTTTCTATGTTTATCCTAGAAATCAGTATTGATATTACTCGTAATGATTCAGAAAGTATCTGTGCAGATGGATTTTGCAAGCAAGAAAAAATTATATTGATTGAATCGAATTCATTAAAAATATTTTCATCTAATACCGCATTAGGATAGTTTCTAACTATCCAATTGATGTTTTTTAAACTCATATATAAATCAGCAGCATCAGAATTTTGAAATCCATTTTGCAATGTAATGAAATGCTGATGTAAATGATAATTAAGTTGAAGTGTTTGCTCATTTACGTCAATTTTGACTGGTTCACAGATCGTTTTGTCTTCATTATCCTCTGAAATTTTTATATTCATCACTAAGAATTGTCACTTTTTCAAATTTTATCTTATGCTATCATATCAGCTGATCGTCTTCACGCCAAAAATGATATACGAGTGTTTTTGTGTTTAGCATTATATTTCAAATTCTCTAAAAATAGATCCAATATCCAGAACATATATTTTGCGATCTCAATAAATCAAAAACTATAGAATAACACTTTTAAGTCTGTTTTGTGTCACACGGCGTCGGTGATAATATGTTCTAAAAGTGTTAATCCTGAGGAGTCTAAAATATATTCAAATTTTATCAAGCTTCAGCTTTTTAACACATAAAATCAGCTGATTTCACATTCAAATTGTAAAAAATCGCTAAAAATTTAAAAAATTACGAGTAATACATGATAGAAAAATATAAAACTATTAATTTTGTCCTATATTTAACTACTGCTTTACTTCTTCATCAAGAGGGAGTTCCTTGATATCAATGATTTGCTTTTCACCGAATTCTTCCTGAAGGCATCCAAGAATTCCAGCATTTAATGTATTTCTACGAGAAGGACAGCCAGAGCAATGTCCCATAAGCTGTACAGAAACGATACCATCTGTGATGTCCTTTAAAACTATATCACCTCCATCCATTTGAAGGACAGGGCGAACACGCTCATCGATAACGGCATTAACTTTGTCGAAGAATTCCTTTGAAGCCTTTGCAAAGAACTTTGTCACTTTTTAAATTGTTTGGGAATATTTTATACGTGGAAAGTACGAAGGATTGACTAACAAAGCTTTAAAATCATATTTTTACGGAACCAACTTTCAAATATGTGCTTGTGAATAAAATTTGCAATTGAATGAAATTATATTTAGCCCAGGATATGAATTATTGTTAACAATAAAATTTTTACTTACTGCTAATAAGGATGTCAATTTGGAAGAAAAGTGAGAAAATTCCTAAAATGCTAAAAATGAATTTTCCAAATGTACTTTTTTATCTCATTTTTTTGATTTTGAAAAAAATTTGGAGAGAAGAACTCTTCGTTTTTGAATTTTATCACGATGGTTTTAAAGTATATTAGACACATGTATTGGTATTACTATTTTTGTATATTTTGAGAGAAAATCCCTAAAAAGTGAGAAAATCTAAGACAGTTTGAGAAAATATATAAACTATTGAAAATTTGAATTAAACTTCTAATTTGGAAAAAAGAAATTTGGAAAGAAGAAAATTCAAAAATCGAGATTTAGACTCAGCATCAAATGGAGAACAAAATGTTTTTTCATATGAAGGAAAAAAATTTTCTTGTGAAGAAATAGAGTTTTTAAAATTTTATTGTATGTAATGAAATAAACAAATATTAAAATTATTTTTTGATAACAAGAAAATTCCCAATAGAAAATATTTGAGAGAAAGAAAAAAAGAAAATTGAAAATATTACTCTCCTTTATATTTCATGAGATTTTAAATTTATTCTCATAAAATTGACAATTTTATACGTTTAGATGAAAATAAGTGATTTTGGTTGAAATAGAAATTATTATTTGCTTACAACTATCAAATAGATTTTTGCTATTTTGATTAAAATTTGTTAATCAAATTAATAAATTTTTTCTAAATATCTTAAATATCTGGATCACTCACATATACAATGAATTGAACGATAAAAATAATACAAACTCAACTAAGTTTCCTGTCTTTCAACTAAAAAAAATTATGCAAATTAAATTAAATTGTTTATTCAAATATAAAACAAAGATGAAGTAATTACAGTTATCATAAACTTTATGAATAACTCTGTAATTGGTTCAGATTTTCGTAAAAATATTTTTATTAATATCGATAAGAATACGTTTACCTACTATCACAACATATCGATAAACAAGAGTAGAGTGATTTTTATCATCGAAACTTTTTAAAAGCTGTAAGCTGGAAGGAAAAATCTTGTTTTTTCTGAGTTAGTTGTAGAACTATTGATGCACGAGTTATCATTGTGATGTAGAAGGATGTCAATGTACTGACTGAAGGATATGAAGTGAATTGAATTTCATTGCATTTCAATTTGATCAAAATTTGTTGAAATGATATGAATGTGTCAACATCTGTATCACTCTCTTTCACTCCTTCCCTATTCTTTCGAGAACGAAGCTAGCTCAGCTTTCGCTGAGCGAATTGACACTTTTGATGCCCTAAACGTGCATGCTCTCAAATTTATCGAAAAAAATTATACCACCTAAACTAGTATATTCTTATTTTAAATATGATATTATCCTTAGAATCCACACTAGAATATATTTAAATCAACTTTTAAAAAAGTTCGAATCCTGCGCGTCTCACTTTTTAAATTTTCGAAAAGGAAAATTATATTTTCCTAAAATGAAAACAATTTCCGAATTGACATCCTTACTGCTAACTATTCCTTTTTGCTATCTGTTAGATATTTGAAAATTTGATATCCAAAATTAAAAATTAAAAGTAATGTTGATAGTAAAAAACAAATAAGCGTTTATTAATAACATTCAATTACCATGGGCCGTAGTTCGGCATTGGAGCATATACAGGTGGAGGTTGGTTAACAAGTGGAAGACCACATTGGCATAACTGTGGTGAAGTAGGCATTGAATATTGATAATATGGGTAAGGATTTGGATATGGCTGTTGATATGGATAATATTGAGGAGGATATTTCGGCTGCTGTGTTGGTGGATATGGTAAAGCATTGCAATTGCAATAAGGAAGATTAAGCAGCGGAGGAACAAGAAGTGCAGGATTAATTGGCTTAGAATTATTATTATTTATAGGCTGATTCATTTGCTTTTGTTGTGTATTTGGAATTTGCTGTTCGGGATTGAATCCATTTTGCTTGTTTTGTTCATTTGATCTTTGGATCTTTACTTGGATACGACTTCTCCAGCATAAGAACATTTGATACTCTTTAGCATCAACTTCGTACATCTTTTCCTCTTCTTCTTTGTTACAGCATTCTTCTGATTTGCATTTACCACAGCATTTTCCCTCGTTATTGTTGCAACATTTATGTGCTTTCTTGTGTGATATGATTGAAATATCGGTTTCTTGGATTTCCGAACTTTCTGGCTGTACAGGTGAATCAGACATCCTAAAAAAACAAGTAAAAATGAATTTGAAAATTGAGAGGAATTTTTCCCTATTGTAAATAACTCAATCAATATTTTCAATTGGATTTTCCCTTTTTGCAAAATCGAAAAGATTTGAATCAACCTTAAGTAGGGATTTCTCAATCAAAAATTGTTTTTAGCAATTTTTTTGGGAAAAAATCCCTCAAATAAAACCAATCGATTAGAAATATATATTTCATACAATCATGTAAGGGTTTCGTTTTGCTAAAATTGTCACTTTTATAGCATATTTGTTTTTGGATGTTTTGCGAAACCAAAAAAAAACTATGATATACAATGTGTGTGTAAAGAAAATACTTTATTTACTAGTTAAAAAATCATTTGGTATTGATCAAGTTATTTTTTCTGGATAAGATATTATATGGATAATTGGATAGAAAATACAATTATATAATCTTGTACCTGGTTTAATTAAGCTAATTGTCATCAGAAACTTGTAATTTTTATGAATTTCAGATTTTCTTTTCATTACTGCTTTTCTTAATAGGTCAAGTTCTTATTTACGTTATAAAGTATGATATTTACAAATATCAAGTTATCATGTTTTTTGAGAAATTATGAGAAACAAACAAGAATGAAAAAGATAGGAATAGCAATGAATAGTGATGTGGGTATAGAAAATGTAAGAGATATGAATGCAAAGCAATCAGTATTTAGGATATTGACCATAGATTTCGAAAAAAAAATGCTGCATATTGAGCGAAAACTATGATTATATTATAAGGCTGTCATTTAAAGCATAATGAAACTATTCCCTTTTCATTTTAATCGAATAAGATAGTAAAGATTTTTGAATTAGCTAGAAACTGATGAGATGTTTTCACAAATCAGATTTTTAATCTCTATAATGCATAATTCACTCAATATCTCAATTTTGATATTGCGAGATATTTTTGCTATCGGTTTCGCAATTTTGACACAATAGCAAGAGGGTTCTATAAGCATTATTATCAACGTAGAATCTGAATATCATATCAGAAAATGTCGCAAATCTGACATTTACCCGACCAAATAGCAAAAATAATTGAATACTTTTCGCAAAAACTTTAAAAATCGATAAAAATATGAAATATAGATATTAAAGAGACTTTTTATATAATATTCATAAAGATTTTCCAAAAATATGATACCGCAAAATTAAAAAAGTGACGTCTTGAGTGGAGTCAAAGGTCGAAATTGCTAGCTAAATGTTTTTTTAGCGAAATTGCGTATTGTACGTTTTTTTCGCAAAACGAAACCCTTAAATCATGACTGCTGTCACAATTAGATGCATCATAAAACCTGTAAATTGATTTTGTTTTGATTTGATTGTGTATTGAGAAATTATCTTATAAGTATTCAATGGCTATATAGAATAGCATGATATATTGTGCAATGATTCAGAATAATTTATGATGATATGATTGAACTCATTCAAAATTATCGATTCAGGCTTCATTTCTAGGCATTTTACGTAAAAAGAATGCGTTTTTCAATCTATGCAAACATAGCGGGGATCGATACATGACTTTGTCAAGAATCATGGAAAACTCCCCCTCTTTTTTATAAACTTTGCCCCCTTTTGAAATTTCATTTTTTTTTATAAACAGTAATGGAATCAAAACAGCCTAAACTAGTTCAAAAGAATGATTCAACAGAGTCTGAAGGACAAGTAGAAGTGGCTGCTGCTTCCAGGCAAGAAATAGAGAATCTAAAACGAGACAATAAAGATCTTCTTAACCAACTTTCTAATTTGCAAGCAAAATATGATGAATTGCTTAAATCAACTAACGTATTTACAGATACTTCATCTTTAAAGAACGTTAATGGCGATAATGATTCAAATAACAATTTACCGCCAAACCAAACAAACAATTCATCAGGTGAAAATAATCATTTATATGAGCATCTTTTATCCTTACTTGCAAATCACGAATCTAATGAAAAACAGGATTCTTCTTCAGATAGTTTTACGAAAGGAGGTGATAATCGCCTTTCTGCCAAATACAACACAGTCATTAACGAATTACTAGAAGTTCAAAAGCAGAACGACGAGCTTCTCAACGAAAATGTCGAATTAGAAAAAGAAAACGATCAACTTCGAAATCAGCTTGCTACTGCTACATCCGATTTGAAAGAGAGCGAAAAGATTATAAAAGGTCTGAATGCTCAATTATCTTCACTTCGAAGGGAATTAGACGCAAGAATCGGAGATAACGAAAAAGCCGACCACAGATTATTGGTTACCGATACAGAGAAGCAGGTAGTTCAAATGCAATACGAAGAACTCCAAAACCAGGCTGTTAAAAGAAAAATTAAAATAAACGGTCTCAAGAAACTCAACGAGAAACTCCAGGAAGATAATAAATCTATCAGTAAAAAGAACGCTACACTCAACATGGAATACCAGAAACTCCAATTTGCATACGAAGAATTAAATAGACAATATGAGATCAATCTAAGCGATAAAACAAACGAAGAAGCGTTACAAACCAAAGAAAAACAGATACAGAAATTACAAAAGGCGTTAGATGACATGACTTCTCATCTTGAATCTACATGTTCAGATTTAACCTCCGAAAACGAGAGAAGGACACAAATGCAAAGCGTTTTACAGAAGCAGAACCAATTATTATCATTATTAGAACAAAAAGTTACTACTTTTTCAGAAGAAAACTCAAATCTGAAATCCCAAATCGAATCTCTCAAGCAAGAGAACTCAGATTTGAATCCCTTCAAGACCACGAGACAGTGCCCACACAAGGAAGTCAGTATAGCCCTTCTAAACTACATAAAATCAGAACTTCCTGAAACAAATCTTTCAATTGAACTCGAAAACATTCTTTGCCAATCCGAACTCGATACAACGGAAAAGGTTGTCACTGCCTTTTCAACGCTACTCAATTCTTCCCTCTGCAGCAACGCGTTTACCATCAAAATGGACCAATATAATTCTGACATGACCGAGCTGAAGACACAAAACAACAGACTTGTCAATTATATCGCAAACATGGTCCAGTTCATCGACCACGTTGCAAACAGCGGTGATATCCAAGAGTGGCTCATCGGACACGTACAACCTGAAGACTTTAGAAACTCCTTGAATTCTCAAGTCGCAAGAATTCAGAGTTACTTGCAATCCAACAAACTTTTGAACGAAAATGAAGATTTATGTGATTCATTTGCACACTTTCCAACATACATCAACAAGAAACTTGCAAAAGAAGATGTCTACAAGTCGAATGACAATGAATTATTATGTCTTTTGCAAATGTTTTCTCTTGCAAATGACATTTTAACGAAATTCAGTGTCGAATTGCAAAACAGAAGTTCTTTGTTGATGGCGGAGTTAAGAAGAACAAGAGATGAATTCGCTGAAAGTGAGCAATCAACAAAAGACGAAATAGAACTTAAGACACAAGAAATTGAAATCGAAAAACAGAATTTGATTGAAGAAAACGAAATTTTGCAGAGAAAAATTGAAAATGCAAAAGAAGAACTTAGAAAATCCGAAGTTTCGAATTCTTTGGCAATTCTTCAGTTGTTGAATGATGATTTAGACAATTCAGAAGTTGTTCCATCCAATGACGAATACACACAACAAATTGAGCAGAAGTTGTATCAAAAACAAGAAGAAATGAAGAAGAAAGATGAAGAGAACCAGAAAGAAAAAGAAAATTTGATGAACCAAATCAATGATCTTAAGAAGAAATTGGGTGATTTGTCAACAGAAAAAAGGAACTTAAATGAAAAAATGGAGAAAGAAAAAGACATTTTCGAGGAAGAAATCGAAAATCTTAAAGAAGACAATGAAACAATCAAAAACTTGAATGATAAATATGTTGAAGAAATCAACAAACTCAAAGAATTAGTTGCTGAAGAACTAGAACACAACAAACAATTGATTGAAGCGCATGAAAAAGCGATGAATGACTTGCAGAATGATATTGAAGAGAAACATCAAAAAGAACTGATGCAAGTAGGTGATGAAATTGATAAATTACATAATCTCATCACGAAGAAAGAAGAAGAAAACACAGAAGCATTAAAACAAGTAAAGAATCAGTTCAGAGATGAAATAAATAAACTTAAAAATGAAAAAGAAGAAGCTGAAAAACATTCAGAAGAAATCACCGAAAACTATGAAAATTTGTGTGAAAACTATAAGCAAAAGATGGAAGAAGCAAGAGAAAATGAATCTAAAGCAAGAGAAGAAATGATTCGTGTTCAAACAACAAACAAATCATTGAACGACGAACTCAGCGAAATCAGAGTTGATTTCAAGATGTTGGCAATGAAATATAAGAGTTTAGAAGAGAAATCTAAACGAGAAAAACAACAAATTGAAGCAAAGATGCAAATGGTCAACATGGCAAATGAAGCTGCAATGAAGAAGAAAGTTGGAGAAGCTGAAATTGTTGCAAGAGAATCATTCAAGAATTTCTTGATTTCTGTTTGTGAAAAATTCACTTCATTTGTTGACTTTTCGAAACAAATTGATGAAAATTCAGTGAATGAATTACTAGATAAAGTCAGTTTGGAAGTAGAAAGCAAGTCAGCAAATGGAATGAACTTCACAAGACAGATCAGCGAATACAAAGATGCTAAAGCTCTTTTAGGAATCAAAGATGAAGAATCCCTCGTAAATAATTTGCAAAAATTAGTTGAAAAATGCAGAGATTACGAGAATATGAAGACTTCAATCGAATCAGAACATTCTGAAGTTAAAGACTTACTTAACAAAGTCTCCAAACAATCACAATCTGCTTCAGAAGCACAAGATTGGTTGGAATGGGCTGTTAACTTACATGGAATTATTTCTGACAGTTTTTCATTGGTTAAAAAACCAAGCGAATTGAGATTTGCAATTGGAGAAGCTGTCATGTCTTCACTCGGTAAGAAGAGGTTATGGAGACACATGGAGATTTTAAGATCTGAGAAACAGATCTTCGTCAATGGCCTTGATCGACAAAAAGTTGTTATTCCACGAACAACAATTACAACATTGACTGCAGTTTTAGTTTCGATTAGAAGAATCCAGAAAATGAGTGGACATTTGTTTTCTCCTATTTCTATTCCTAGAAATAATGAAGAAACACAGATATTGTCTTTAACACCAAGAAGAGGTAAGGTTATGGAAAGTAACTCGCCAAAGAAGAATTGGCCTTTACTAATTCCAAAATAATTTTAATTATATAAGTTTATTTGTTTTTGAGATTGTATTAAAAAAAAGTAAGTATATATTCTATATTCTGTGATTTCATTAGTACCTTGTTAATTATCATTATATATAGTTTGTTATTATCCAAATTTTTGCAGACTTTTCATAACATCTACTCAATATTAAGACCATTTCAATATAAGCTCCATTTTTAAATTCATTTTAAAAATTGCACATTGAATACTGGGTTAGGATTATCACAATATTATAATATCTTTTCGAATTTCCTTTTTATCAGACTAGAAAGTAAATACATATTTTTAGTGATTAGAAATACGTTTATTATGCTAGAACGTAAATCTAATCATACACATTAGAATCTAACTTAATTATTGATCTTCAAATACACGAATCTGAAATGCAAATATATAATATCATTAGATAGTTCAGTAGAAATTGAGAATAGATATAAACAAAGCTCCGAAAGTAATATGTATTCAAGCAATGATTGAATATAAAATATGTTTATAGATTTTTATCTCCTATTTCTGACATAGGACAATGGAGAAAATCCAATTGCCTAATAGTTCATAGTTTCGACTTTTTTAAAAAATTTCGACTATTTTTTTTAATTTTTCAAATGGCGGAAAAGAAAGATATCCATCTCATATACGAAGATTTGACAAAAAGGTATCGAAATAATTATAAAATCATTGCTTCTTTCGTACGTATTAACACAACAAATACAACAGAAATACAAGAAATTTATCAAAAGATAAAAAAAATTTCTGTTGAGATAAATTTATTTCCATTTGTACGTCTCCCTATCGTTTTTAGTGCTTACAGATATAATAATAGATATTTGAAATCATATTGGCTCATTTTCAAAATGTTATTTGAAGAATTTCGAATAAAATTTGATTTAATAGATCATCCGGCTTTAGAATATTTCTTTAATAAAGAGTATGGTTTCCCAAAAAGTTATAAAAGTGAAAAATCTTATGGAAATTATACATTAGATCTTCATGAAAAAACACAATTTATAGATCAATTATGGATGATGATAAAGATTCATTTATTGTATTCATTGAAAGCGAATCATTTGATAAAACTCAAAAACTCAAACATGATTTTTATCCAGAATCATCTGAAGGATATTCATTTCTTGAATTGTGTTGCTATCACGGAGCGGTTGATTGTTTTAAGTTATTAAGAACAAAATTCAACTCAGAAATTACTCCACAATGTCTTCAATTTTCATTCTTAAGTGGGAAACCAGACATTTTGAACGAATGTTTGAAATTCCAAGAACCCGATCAAGAATGCATGAGATATGCAATTATTTCATTCAATGTTGATTTTATAACATTTTTGAATAGAGAGTATGAATTAGAAATCGATTTGGATACTTGTAGGCTCTGGAAGAATTACCAAGCTTTCTTTATTTATCTTGATGTTTCAAATGACATTGAAAACTGCTTTCCTTATACTCCCTGTTTCGGTACTTCTATTTTCGAATATTTTATTTCACAAGGAGTTGATATTAATGCAAAAGAGAATCAATTTCATGCTACAGCCCTTCATTTCGCAGCCCTTATTGGTAATATAGAAATAGTTAAATTTCTTATTTCTCGTGGATTAAATATTAATTCAACTGATATTAGTGGGGCATCTATTCTAAATTATGCAGCTTTTTACAGTGACAAAAAAACGATCGAATTCCTTATTGAAAATGGAGCAGATATTAATGCAAAAAATAAAAACGGAATTACCATTCTTCAAGTGGCAGCTTCAACAAATAATTATGGTGCTGCAAAAATTCTTATTTTGCATAGTAAGAAAATTATTTCAAAAAGTAATTTTGAGGAAACAATTGCTTTTATCGATGAGCGAGATAATGATGGATAAACTGCGCTTTTTTATGCAATTCAAAATAATTCATTTGATACTGCTAAGCTTCTCATTTTAAATGGAGCCAATGTAAATATAAAAACAAATAAAGAAAATTCTCCCCTTCTACATGCAACACACCAAAACCATTTTGAAATTGCAGAAATACTTTTATCTAATGGTGCAAATATAAATGATAAAGCGATACATGGATTCTCCTTACTACATTTTGCGGTGGCCCACAAAGATGTAGATAAAGCAAAATTCCTTATAATGCACAATATTGACATTAATGCAAAAGATAATTATGATCATTATGCTGTTGATTATGCATATTTTATGAAAGACAAAGAGATGATAGCATTTCTTGAGCAATATGGTGCAAAGCGATCTGACCAAAACTAATATTGAATTTTCAATGTTGTTTAAACTCATTTTTTAAAAGTATTACTTATTCAGCTCAAAGCATGTTTCTTCTGATATTTGTTAATCATATATTATCCCCTTTGTTGATGATAAATTTCTTTTTAATTATTATTCTATTCTGGCTTTTTCGAATTGGCTATGGAAGAGCATGCAATTACATGAGATATGCAGAGGCATTATCTCCAAGAATGAGACGTGCTCATTCATAACAAGACTCTTGTCGGTCAACATTCCACATTCAAGTTATGAATGAGCAACAGTATGCATTCCAGGAAACATGCCGATTCAAAACATTGAACGTATTGAGTTTGGATCCTTTGTCAAACAAATAGAGCTTGGATCCTCTAAATTATCTGCATCAATAATTTCTTTCATTTCTGGTATGACAAGCAGAAAGAAAGCGATCAGTAACCCTAGGAAAAAAGAAAAGGGGTGTCACTTTTCGTATATGTACCTTTCGTTTGTGTACCATCAACATAATACTATAATTTGATAAAAATATCAATTTATTTTATTTTCGAGATGATTTTCTGCCAGATAAAAGTGACAATTTTAGCAGAGTTATAAAAAATGAATAAAATGATTTTTTCTGAACTTACAGAGAAACATAAGGACATAATTGATACATTTAATGCTATCTACAGTCTTAAATCAGAAAATGAAGAAGAAATCGAGAACATTTACCAACTAATTAAGACAAAATTAATAGAAACTAATACAATTTCACTATCTTACGTTCTGAGCGCTATTTGCAATGCCGAAAAATTCAGAAACCGTTACATGAAATCGTATTATGCTATCTTTAAAAAGTTAATTGATGAATTCAATCTAAAAGAAATACCACACATTTCTATTTTATTTGATTATTTAATTTATAAAGAAACAGGTGTTGTCTATGATGTAAAACATAAATTGAATTTTTAAATTTTTATGTCATCAAATAGCTTGAATTCATATGAAAATGATGAACTTTATAAATCAATAATGAAAAATGATAAAGAGTCATTCATTATTCAAACGGGAAAAGAAGGATTCGATGAAAACAAAGTATATGACAATGGTTTGTTTTCTACTGATAATCTTCAATATACATTGCTTGAATTATGTTGTTATTATGGGGCTGTTGATTGCTTCAAGATTTTGAGATCAAAATACAAATCCGAAATTACAGATGAATGTCTGATGCTATCTTTTTTAAGTGGTATTCCTGATATCGTCAATGAATGTTTGAAATATAAACAACCAACTGAAAAATGCATGAAATACGCAATTATTTCGCATAATATCGATTTCGTTTGTTTTTTGATGAACGAATATGGATTAGAAATCGATTTGAACTATTGCTGCAAATTCAACAATCTACAAGCATTATTAATATATTTAGATCAAACAAATGATATCGAAAATGTTTTGTTTATTCATCGTGCTTTGGAAATTCGTTGGTTGAGTATTTTCTTGCGCAAGGTGTAAACATTAATTCAAGAGATCATCTCGGAAGAACTGCACTTCATATTGCTACATTGTACAATAACATAGAGTCATTAGAACTCCTTATTTCAAAAGGTATCGATATAAATGGAAAAGATGACCTCGGTAGAACTGCAATTTATTTTGCAGCCGAAAATAATCTTGTCGATATATTAAAAGTACTTATTTCTCATGGTGCAGATATCAATGCTGTTAATACAACTAAAAGATCTGCTCTACATGTTGCTACACTAAACAGATGCAAAGAAGCTATTGAATTTCTAATATCTCATGGTGCAGAGATTAACGCATATGATAATTTTAATAACAGTCCTCTTCATATCGCTGTTGGAAATTCATGGATTGATATTTCACGAATTTTTGTTTCGAATGGCGCTGATGTTAATTGCAAAAATCAAAACGGGAGGACTTGCCTTCATATTGCTGCATATAATAACAACAAAGAAACAGCTGAATTACTTATTTCAAATGGTGCTGACATAAATGCAAAAGATATCTTTGGAGAAACTCCGCTTCAAATCGCCTCTGAAAATAATAACCAAGTAGTTATTGAAGTTTTAATTTCACATGGTGCTGAGCCAGCTACACAAGATAAGTGAAATTATTTCATCTCATAAATGCATTTGGATTTTTTATTCGTTTTTTCTATTTCAATCGAAGTAAAATTAACATTAAATAGATGCGACTAAGTACCTTAAATTCTTGGAAAAATCGATAATTAGATATCAAGACATTTAGTGATAGTAATTATATATGTTGACTTCATTTTCTTTCATTATAAATATACATATAGATTATTTATTGAATACAAACATATATTTTTATTCACACTTTATAAGAGCGGCCACAAATTACAATTGAATCATCATTCAATACTTGAATGGAATCTGATGTTGTTGAGTCAGGTTTTACGGATGTTTGCTTGCTTCCATTAATATCATAAATGGAAACAATTCCATCTTCGCATGCAGTAATAAAAGAAAGTTCATTTGAACTAAATTTGATATCATTTACAGGTGAATCTGTTTTTGATTCATGCAAAATATCTCCATCAAAAGAAAGTAAAGCAAAACCTTTCGTCATTCCGACACAAATCATTCGACCATTTTCCGTAGTATCCAATGAAACAGGTGTATCATTCAGTTCTATTTTATTGAGTTCTCTTCCTTCTCCAACATCCCAAATTCTGACAGTTCCATCTAAAGAAGAACTGACAAATGTTTGTCGATTTTTTGAAGACAAACAAGTGACAGTACTCGTATGTCCTGCAAAAAGTCTAATAGGAAGATGATGGCTCATCTCCCACATTGATATAGTACCGTCAAAACTGCCTCCAAAAAATAAAAAAGTGTCATCATAAAAAGTGACATTTGAAATTGGTTTTGTATGGAAATCATATCTTCCTACTTGAGAAGCTGCTTCTGTATGTGCTATTCTTATCTCATTATCCATTCCACCTGAGACAACCATCGCGGAATTAGCTGAAAATGCAAAATTTGTAACTCTTTTCGAATGCTGATTTAAAATTGTTGTTGATGTCTTGTTTGGAAAGTAAAATCTATGCTCTTTATCGAGAATGAATAGTCTAACAGAGTTTGCTTCAGCATAGCCTAGTAAGCGACCGCAAGGAGAGAGTTTTATACATGATAAATTATTATGATGATTGAAAAGCGTAATATGGGACATATCATGGATATAAGTTTGCTGTATATCTTTCTGTTGCATTGTATCTCTATTTTTGGCCGTATAGATTGATCCAGGATTAAATAACTCGAATAATCTGATTTTTTCTTTTTCATCGTTTATTTTAGCTTGGGATTGGTTTACATTTGTATTTTGTATGTTAAAAGTATCTTCCGCGATAGTATATCGTATTTTTTCTGTTATTATTATGAATGCATACGACAATTTATCATCTTCGAGTATTTTCTGGAGTTTGAATGCAGAATATTTCGAAATAGAGATATCTGTTGATGGTAATTTAAAAGCTCTTGGATTCTCAATTAAATTCTGTAAAATTTCATTCTGGTAATGAGTGAGATTCGTTTTATATGAGTTAATGAAGTTTGAAAAGTAAAATTCATAACCTCGAATGATTAAACTTGACGCAAAATGTATAAATAATGGAAAAATAAATTGATTAAGATCTTTTTGGACAAATGCTGAACATTCAGCAACTTTTTGTAAAAAAATCTCTAATGCTTCCATTATTCTTTTTGGTTCTGGTGATGAAATGTATTCTTCGAAAATTTTCTCTGTTTCGGTCAACTTTGGGCCTTTATCATTAAACAAATGCTTGTTTATCTTCGTCTGTTGCTTTTTAAGCAATAAATATTCTTCAACAAAAAAAGGCATTGAAAATTGATTCTCATTCATTCATAAAATTGACATAAACCATCATATCACGTCATCTTAATCATATTTATATAATAATAAAGACATTAATTTCAGCTAAAATCAAATTTATAAAAATAACACAATTTTTTATTGCAAACAATATAGACAAAACAATTGATGATATATTGCTTTGAATTTGGCAATCTAAATTTAATAAGGAAATGCGAATTAAACTCTCCATTTGCCCTTCATTCTATCAAATCTATCATCTGATGAATCATCCATTTGCAAAAGTACATCGTAATTATTTCCGAATAATGAAACTCTTGCTGGACATCCTGATTCATTAATTAAAATAGCAAAAGGTGAATCTCTTGCAGGTTCGCAGCTCCAGCCTAATCTATTAGCAGCAGCAGTGATTTTTTCATATGCATTCAATCTCTCCATTACTTGAGCAATGCAAACTCCTATTGAATCTTCATCTGGAGATATATCACTAACAAATACATCTTTCTTTTCTAGTTCAACCTTTGTTTGGTATATGTTAAGGATATATTTCTTTTTCAGTCTGTATTTATTTTCCGAGATGACTTCAATATTTGTAAATTCGGAAAGCTTGTTATAAGCGTTTTCATACCACTCATACTCTGCAGAACTCTTTTTAAGATCAGTGATCTCTTTATCGCAGATTTCTACTAAACGATTATAGTCTGTTGTATTGGATGAAGGTATTTTGTCTTTAAGTTGCTTTAAAATAGAATTAGATTGTGATATTAAGGTTTGGAATTCATCTGCCGTCATTTCATTTCTTACTCGATCGTTTTGAATTTTTTGTAATTCTTGTTCAATTTTTTGTCTTTGGTCACGGGCTTGATCCAATTCGCTCTTCTTGAAGGGTTGTATAGTTTTATCCTGTTGTAATGTCTCATATAGTTTTGCTTTTGTGTACAAATCGACGTACTCGTTTGCAGCTTGCTCAAATTGACGGATATCATCATTTCCTACGTTATTTTTGATATCTCTGAGCAACTCGTTTCCTTCCTGAATGCCATTCTGGAGTTTGTCGACAACAGAATCCATTTTTGAAAAAAAAATTCTTGACGCGTAAAGTCAGTGGCAAAAAATTTGTTTTTTAAACGTATAAAAATTTTTGAGGAATGTACCCAACTCCGGGCGCTCCTCCTCCTCAATATGGATATAGACCACAGATGGGAATGCCTCCACCAGGAATGCAACCTCCTGGAATGAATCCATATGGACCCCCACCCGTTTTTCAACCTCCAATGCTCGGAAGACAACCACCACAAATGAATCAACCACAAATGATTCCAGTATTCAATATGCAAATGCAAGGTGGAGCTCTTTATCAGCCATCAAATCAACCTCCTCCACCACAAATAATTCTTACACGACCAAATCCGCCAAAAGAACAATATGCATGGGCACCAAGAACAGAGCCAATGAATTGGGGATTAGCCGAATCACTTGATGTTAACCAAATGGTTCAAAAAGGTGATTTAGCTTCAGTCGAATTTTATATGAATAAGTTTACATTTGCAAATATATCAAAGGATGATATGAAGCAATTCGGAAGCAAGGGTGCCCTTAATGCCTTTCTTATATTACAACTCGCATGTGATTATCTAATGGCTCAAAGGAATATGGCACCACCTCCATCTACTGATGAGCCAGATGCGAAATTGCTTGAGCAATACAATGCTAACATTGCTCAAGCAACTAAAGCTATCGAACAATATAAACTTAAAGTTAAAGAGCTGCAAAAACAAGTCGAAAGACTGAAAAATGATAGAGCAACAGAGAAAAAGATCATTTTGAAGCTTAAAGCCAAATGTGGTAAGCTTCAAGAATCCATGAAATCACGTCGATTTAACAAAAATAATAACATGGCTACTACAGAAACAGAACCAGGTGCTCTTAAAGAAACTCTTGCACTTCAACAACTTAGAAAGAATGAGAAGAAGCTTGGGCAGCTAGACAGCAGCGAAATTTCGTCATCATTAAGTGAAGCTATAGATACAAAAGATCTAAATAGAGAAACTGGAGAAATAGTAGATGATGATTCAGATGAAGCTCAATCTTCAACTGGAGAATTCACAGGAAGTGAATACGAAGATGAAGATGAAGGCGAATATGGATCTATTAATGATAGTGGAGCCTATGATGATGGCACCGGTACAGTTAGATCAGATGACGATGATGATAGCGGAGGAATTTATTCAGAAGGCGAAGTTTAAGTTATTTTTTATTTTATTTATGTAAATCATATTGTGTGCACTAATCTAGAATCCTCTAACTTTTTAAATCTGAAATTGAATTTTTCGAAACTTGACTTTTAAGAGTTTTAACTCCATGAACCTTATAAGATAGTCTATTTTACTGCATAGTTTAGAGCCTTTGACTATATGATTCAAATGTTATCAGATTATCTGACACTCAAAAACCTTAAATACATTTTATTGATTTAATAATGATTGTGACATTTATTTGATAAATAAAAGTTTTTGACGTAATCAGTGTATTGAATTTTTCCGAACTCATCGTTTTGTCATATTTATATTATATGTTTCTATTTAAAATTACATGTTTTTTAAATTCAGAGATTTCTGAAAATTGAAAAGGGGTTATTTTAATTTCATGAACGATCCATTAATAGAGCCTACAAAGCATTATTCCTCATGCAAAATTTTCTGTATCACAATGTCATGCCTAGCATTCCAAGTTGGCTGGACTGTTGTGTTTGGACTTGTAGATCCTTTAATGACTGACTTAAATCTATCAAAAGTTACTAAATTCATAGCTTGGTCAATTGGACCAATTACAGGTTTCTTCGTTCAGCCAATTATAGGTTATTATTCCGACCGCTGCAGATCCCGTTTTGGTCGCCGTCGTCCATACTTGTTTTGGGGTGGAGTTGGAACATTTATTGGTCTTGGTGGACTATTTGCTCTATACATGCTCAGAGAGAAATGGTCCCATAATTTAATCACTCCAATCTTACTAATTGTTATTGCTGTTACATATATTTCGATTAATACATTCCAAAGCCCAGCTCGTTCTATTATTGGCGATATACTCCCACCAGACCAAAGAACAAGAGGTTTTGCATTTTCATCAATTTTAATTGGAATTGGCGCAGTTGTTACAAATCTTCTTGGCGGTATTGGCTACTTTGTTAATAGTCCATCATATCAAAAGAAAGTTTTTCCAATTACTTTAATTCTTTCAACGGTCACAATTGTAATTTCACTCGCTACTACAATTATTGTTGCAAATGAGAAGCAATTTACAGAAGAAATCGAAAAAGGCAGTATCTTTGACTTGAAGTCAATATTTCATATGTCCAAAGTTCAAACTAGGGTTTCTATCGCTCTTATGACTTCATGGGCAGCTTTTACAGGCTTTTCAATTAAATTAACTACATTTTACTCAAAAGAAGTTTTCCCAGATGATAATAATAAGGGCTTGTGTTTCGGATTGGTTGTGAACGCACTTGTTAACACTTTAGCCTTCCTGTATGGTGCAATCCATGAGAAATTTGTTAATACTTTAGGAACAAAAATGGCATATTTTGTTTCTCACTTTTTAATGTTCGGAAGCTTACTTGGCGTATTATTTGCAAAGAACAAATGGGTGTTTATGGCTTTGATGGCACCTCTTGGCATGGGATCAACAGTTTTCAATACAATTCCATTTTCTATTGTTACTGCAGACTCCACACCTCAATCATTAGGTAAAAACATTGGAGCTCTTAATATTTTCCTTGTTCTTGGCCAACAAATTGCAAACCTTGTTATTATTGCAGTTGGATATATTCATAAGAAGTGGGATTGGTTAAATCAAAGAGTTGGTGAAAACCAAGCTTATATAGGCTCCGGTTTTGTTGCTAGTGCGATTGCCTGTGTTTTATCTTTTTGGATTATTGTTCCAAAGGGCGAAGAAGGAGCTATTTCAATTACAAGCTCAGAAGAAAAATATGAACAACTCAAATGATTTCTTTTAGAAAGACTCTACTATATCTTTCAATATATTAAAAAAAATTAATAAAAATTAATAGTATATTTCACGCAAAAGCAATGTTTATTTTTGTTAAACGAATAAATAATATTTATTAAGATTGCATGGCATTATGTACTCATCATTTGCCTACTTTCTTCAATTTTTCGACAGCTTCATTATATGGCTGAATGTAATCACTAATAATAGAAGCTATTCCATGATTCATTAGCATTTCATAGTATTCCTTTGTCTGTTCCTGATAATAATAAGTCATGAAACTAATATTGAGTTTTGTTGCTTCATCAATGATCTTACATTCAGGTAATAGGTTGCGCGGATCAGTGGAAATATATGCTATTCCAAGCTTTTCCAGAAGAGGGAAGAATGTTCTAATTCTGTCCCTAACATGACTAAGTTCTTCACCATTTGATGGATTTATTAACAATGCTACGGGGTACCTCTTTTGTCTAACAGCAAAGCTTATAACAAGAGTTGGATCAAAAGAACCCAATATAACCGTACGATTCTTTCCATGTTCTTTGAGTTCTTTCAATAATATATCAACATATGCATTTCTTTCTTCGAATGGAATCATTTTTTCAAGCTCCTTGGAACATGGGTACTTTACTTCCGTCAAAATTGAAAGATCTTCTGGAAGTTGAGTAAGGACTCCTGAATATGTGCACCTCAATGTGTTATACTCTGTATTTAAGCCCGATTCTTGATGTTCTTCAACAGTTATATCTTGGTTACAATACAAATAATTTCCTTTTTCATCAATTTTAATTGGATCTCTGCCGGTTGCAGATTTATGAGGAAGAGTAACCAAAAATGGATGAATAACAATAGGAATCCCACCATTGGCTAACTGGACATCCATTTCAACGCATCTCGCACCATTTTTATATGCCTCATGAAAAGATGGAATTGTATTTTCCAAGAAATCATGGACAATTTGGTTATTTCCGGCACCTCGATGTCCAATAACAAATCTATCAGGAAGATTATTAATTGTTGGACCAGGAAGGTCGATTTTTGGATCATCGATAATGATAGCATCAATATTAATGAAACAGTTGCTTTTAGATGTTAATTCCAAGTGATTATAGTTTCTGAGGGTATTGAATTCGATTTCAAAAGCGTCACTTTTATTTTCGAATTCGAAAGGAATTTTCAGCTGGATTTTTTTCATTATACTGACCAAAGAGAAGCAAGTAATTGTGTTTACCGTATATATTAATACCTTCTGATACTGAATCATAAGTAGTTAGACTTTCAGATCGGGAGGTTTCGTATGCAAAGAAGTATTTCATAAAAATGACATTTTTTATTGAAACTGACAATTGAGCGAAAAAAGCCGCTTATCGTTTTATCCTTGATCATACTGGATATTAATATAATTATTAAATAATTATGTAAGTCCTAATGCTGTTGAAAAAGCAATATTGGCTAGGAAAAGATAATTTCGAAATAAATAAGGATGATTTTCTGTTTTGATAGTATATTAATAAATTTTAATGAGATTCAAGCCATTCCTTTTATGGATTTTCAATAGAGAACAAAGAAATACAGTAATTCTTAAAAGAAGATTTGATTTAAAAGAGAAGTGCCGCCACGCCCAAACTTTGATATCATTGTCCCAGACTTTACTACGAAAATCTAGTCCTATAGGTGACAATAAAAGTCTACCAAATGATCCCCTTATTTGCTTCACCCCAAAATAATATTTGCGATTTCAACGACAAAAGATAAAACACCCAATATGACGAATGAATAAGTACTACTAGCATAACCTAATTATTGACAACAGTTTGAATTTCCTATTTATTCAAAATTTGTAAAATTTCTATCTCAAATAAGATCAATTAAGCGATATAGTATACTTGAATTATGATAATTATGTTTTACATCCATAGTAGATTACCATTACTGACTATTTTTTAGACAGGATCAAAATTTTCAAATAATGAAAAATGAATATTTATATTCTAACTTATATAGCATGCTGATTTGCTTTTTATGCAATCAAAAGATTCATATCTCTTATTGCCTACTCATTTAATAAAAATAATTTTTGAAATTTGATGTTTCTATAATTTACTGCTTCAATAAAGCTCAGTAATGAGCACTATTGATTCATCTATTAAGCCTTTTATATTTTGCAATTATTAAGGAATAACAAATAATTTTTGATCAATTAGCGAATATAGCATGAATTAAGCTTAGTAAACATCATACAATCTGAATTCGGATATTAGTATCTAGATTACGATGGTTAATGTGAAAGATAACCGTATCATTTTTTAAACTATCTTTGAAAACTATGGAAAATTCTCGCATTATAGTATTTACTGAATGTATGAAGTTGATTGTCTAATTGTCAATATAATTGTCATATTGATTAGATAAAAATATTGGAAATCTTTTGCAATGAGCATTTTTGTAGTAAAATATATTGCTTTTACAAAATAATATTCATGTATTCTTACTTACAAACTCAAAACTCAGGATGATTATATAGAAAAATAAAAATTTGTTAGTAATCAAACAAAATATTGATAGTGCTGCTTCAAAGAAATTCAATGAAATCTAACGTGTCCATATTGAATTATTTCGACTTCTCTTTATGAAATTCGTTTATAACATATTATCAGGATGCTGAAAAAGTGAGAGTGTCAAATATTTAAGGTTCTTTTTTGAGAACAACCGCTAAATAAAAAATACAAATAAACGACACATTTGGCATCTATGATATATAACAAAACTATTTTCCCATATATTTTGAGCAAAAAACTTAAAATTGAGAGTGGTAGCACTTCTTTTAAAAGTGACATTTTTATGATAGTTCAACATATAATCCTTATGCAATGACACTAAGATTCCAAAACTTCAATAATGATTTACAAGGAACTGGATATAATATTGAAGTTTATAGTTCCATTTTCGAGAGCCAAATCTCATGTCCAATCTTTGTTGAACAGCAAGTTGATTTATCTGTTATAAATTGCTTTTTCACATCTTGTACTAGTACCAGAAAAATGAGTATCGCGTCATCGAGGATACCATCCACTGTTGCTTTTTCTGGCAAAAAATTCATATTTCAATATATCTCTATTTTCAATTGTTCTTCGGGTAAAATTGGATTAGCAGTGTCTTATTCAGATATAAACCAGACGTATGACCACATTTCTTGTGTTTTAGCCCATAGGAGTGGATTAAATCCAAATTTCGGTTATTGCAGCTTAACACATATAAACATAACCGATTATGTTCCAAGTAGAGGATCAGGAGCAATATTCATAGCAAATGGACCTGAAGAATATAATGTATCCGAAGTAAACTTTATTAACAATTCCTTAGCTCAAATTTATGCCATAAGCTCCAACAGAACTGAAGAACAATTGACAAAAAATGTCAATTTTATCAAAAATTTGGGTCTCCAATCTTTAATAGGAATGTGGGGCAAAAATCATTTATTTCAAAACATTTGCATATTTGAAAATACCTTCGATAAATTATTGGACATTAGAGCTACTACAAATTATCGATTTGTTAATTCTCAAGCTGATAATGAAACTCTCACAAGTTCATTCCAAATTACAGATTTTTCAATGAATATGATATCAAATTTCACTATCAAGTTTAGTGCAGTACCTTTTCAATGTACAGCTAATGCTAATCATCTACCATTTTTAATTAGGGGATATTTTATAAACGTAATGATCGTCATTTTTATTTAACTTGATTTATTTTTTGTATGTGTGTGTGTATGTGTGCGCACGGGCACGCATGCGTGCATTTATATCTTCATGAGTGTGTGCATGATTGTCAGAAACAAATACAATTTCAAAAACTTTGATAATGTCAAATAAAATTAAATGTTTTAAAATTGTAAACAAGCACAACCTTCTAATTATAAATGTAAATTATAGTAATTTTCCTTGCTACTTCCTTTTTGAAATTTATATTGCATCGAATTCAAAAATAATTTGGTAATAATAGCTATTTAAACCCAAAAATATTTGAAATTTTATTTAACATTACTTATTTAAGATATTTTAAAATCCGAATTAGAAAAAATATTTTTGAATCCAAAAGGGAAGTTCCCCGGGGAACTTTGTTCATTTTTGATGCCTAAGTCTAAAGCAAACCCAACCAACCAAATTCTTCAGTTCCTACTTGAGAAGAATAGGCCATATAGTGCAACCAACCTTGTTGACGAGCTTCATGGCGAATTTACCAAAACTGTGATTCAAAAATCACTTGATCAACTAACAGAAAGCGGTCAGATAACATGCAAACTATGTGGAAAGTCTACAAAGCTATACTTTGCCAAGCAAGAAGGAAAGGAAGTTGCTTCTAAAGAGCAATTAGTTGAAATGGATCAAAACAACAATCTTCTCCAACAAAAGATCGAAGAACTAAAGAAGAAAAGAGATGAATTAAAATCCAAAAGAGATACTTTGTCATCTACCAGAACTTTGGAAGATCTTAGATCATACAGAGTTCAAATTGAAATTGATTGTCAAACAGCAGCCAAGCAAAGAGATGAACTTATACAAGCCGCACAAGGCATCAATCCTGATGATATTGCTCAGATAAATAAAGAATTTAACACAAGATGCGATCAATGGAAGAAGAGAAAAGCTCTTTGCATGGATATACTAAACCAACTCTGCGACCAAGACGGAATGGATAAGAAGCCAAAAGATCTCATTGAAGATATCGGAATTGAAACCGATGAGCAGTATCATTTGAAACTAGAGTTCAAGGACAGGAAATTTATAGTTACAGAAGTATGATTTGAATATATCATTTGGGAAATAAACATCTTAAATTTAAATTTTAACATTTTTAAGAATTAATCTTGAATAGGACCTTCAAGAGTTACTTGTCTTACCAAAATTAAGATATTCTTGTAGTGGTAATTTGTAATTATTGATTGTAAAAAAAATATTTCGAATTAATGTTTGATGTAAACATAAGAAGTGCTCTAATCATATAAAATGAAGCTAATCGATGTAATAACTTACTTACTAATTCTCTGAAATTCTGAGTTTTGCTGAAAATATTGAAAAGATTGCAAAATTTAATGGAAAGAAGCTTGAATTCCTGGCAAAACCAGACCAGGATGCTAAATTTCAAAGATGTGATTCAAGAATCTCTAAATCTAAGTCTAAAATCATCAAAAAAAATTTTTTTTGTCATGGATTTTTTTGATAGGATGTCAAAAGTTGATGGAAAAAAAGTGCGAGAAATTTTATTGTCGGTTTTTGAAAATTTTGGTCATTTGAAAATGAAAAAGATTGCCAATTTTGCACCACGTGGAGCTCCGTTAGCCACATTTGAGATGTACGGAACATCGCAAAATGTCCGTCTCCCAGCTGCTGCGACAGCAACAGCGATTTCTGACTCTTCAATTCGGGCAACTTTCATGCAAATGTCGAAACCAAACGTCCAAATCAAAAAAGACGGCTTTGCTTCTCTTTCTGAGAAGATACCGATGATGGATGACCATCAGGAATTCCTTGTTGCCGTTACACCAAGTATAGCATTATTCGATCAAACGTTTATTGACTATCATCCAAACGTAAGAATACTTGCAGTCAACTTCATACAGAAAATATGTGAGAAATTAGGTAGAGATATCGTTGAATTTGCACCAAAAATTTTCCCATCATTACTTTTATACTCTTGTGATACAGAACAAGAGATAAGCAATGCTGCAAAAGCCATATTTAATGGATATTTCTCAACATCAGAAAAGAAAAATGCAATTATCTCAAAATTACGCTCTGAAATTAGTCTTCGCATCAAATACTCATATAATGACTTAAAAGATATGGAAAAACACTTTTCTAACAACGATGAAATCGAAAACTGGGGTAGAGTCGCTTCAGCAACCCTTATTTTATCAACTTTGTTATTAAGCGCTTGCAAGTTTGCCCCAGAAGTTCTTTCCTCTTTCGGAGATGTCCAATTACGCAGATGGATATCCCTGAAGGACGCAAAGTTCTTGCCTCAGTCTACAACTCAAATGAGATCTTCCGCTTACTTATACATCGCCATTAACACGCAAAACGATTTTTTCGGAAACGAATATGCCGATTTGATACTCAAACTCATCGGATCAGAGTCTTCTCCTCTCTGCCAATCCCGATTAATTAAATTAATTTCGATTTACATGGACAAAGAGTATTTGACGACAGAAAAAGTCAGATCAGCCATTCTTCCTGCATTAACACTCTACTACGATCCGATTAAAACCGGAATTCCTGCATTACTTACAAGAATTGCCGATCAAAGCTTCGTAGAAAGCGCTTTGAACACTGTTTCATCACTTCCTGATATCGAACTTGCCAATTTATTCTTCAAGATACTCTTTGATCTGTCATCTGACCGTATTGAGCTTAAACCAAGCAATGATTGTTTGTATCAACTGTTCAATGGTGCTATTTCCAAGACACCACCCAGCAGATTCCTCGGACAAGTCGATTTGAAGTACTTTGTCGGCATTTCTTCCGATCCAAGAGTCAGATCTTCACTTGAATCAGGAAATGACGACAGAGCAACAGAGTATTTGCAATACCTGGATACTCAGTCATGCGTTGACTGGCTAAAGACACGTGAAACAATAGGAATTAACACGATTATCCGCTTGATTAAGAATCTTGGCTCAACAATAATTCGCAAGACCTGGCCATCAATCATAGATATACCAATAGAAAAGGCTTCTGACCAAAAGCGCGCAGAACTCATTCAGCTTTACGCAAGAACTGATGAGATGCCAGCAATTATTAAACAATTCCCAGAAACCGTTCGTTATTTCCTTCCTAATTGGTCTGCTGGCTACGATTGCTTGCGTTGCGATGAGCTTTTGGCCATGACCGGCGAATTATTAAAACAATCAATCGGATTATATCGTATTCTCATCCAGATTTTCCCTCAAAACGAGAAAATCGAGTCCGAAATGGAAGAAGCCATCCTCAACGAGATCCAGGAAAACGAAGAAGCAGATCCTGTCTTATTCGAGTACTACACAAAACCAACTGAGAAGGTTTTGACAGCCTTTTTGAACTGTCTTTCAGTTGAAGTACTCGAACCAGGCGACAAAATCATTCCTTTGTTGGTCGACCACATTCCGAAAATTATTAACGATACAAAACAGAATAATTTGGCTGAACAAGTCTACAAGTTCATAGAATCCAGCCAAATCGATCCTTTATCAATAGATATACATCCAAAGGACAATCCAGTCTTTTATTTAGAATTGTGGGAAAAAATCGGTTTTGACAAACTTCCACAAGACAAATTCATTGAATTATTGAGTTCCACATTGAACAGGAAGTGTCCATGGCTTGAGATCTTTTTGTACATCAGGAATATCGACTGGACACTTGTTCCAAGTAAATTATGGGATTATTGTTCACTTCACCCCGAATTAAGTGAACTTGCTATCAAAAATAACGATGTCATTTCACTTTCAGCGATTTGTGCTAGTAACAACTTGAGTTACGACAAACTTCCTAAGACAGGCATTGTTTTAGAAGCTCTTTCATTGATAGAACCACCAATGAATATCAACAATGATTTGATTTCTTCTGTAATTCAAAATGAATGGAATCATTTCACTCCGAAATCTAATTTGATTTCCAATGAAAACTTGACAATTTCTTTGAGGCAAGTAATCAATGTTTTGGAACATTCTGCACCGATAATAATGTCAATCGATGAATTCGTGCCTTTCATTGAAAAAGGTGCAAAAAGTGACAATAAATTTGACTTCTTCCTCACATTGAGAATTTTGTCAATTTTGAGAGACATTGAAATGAGATTTGACAGTTTACAAGAAACTTTACAAACGGTTATTGACAAATCTGTCGAATTTTATCCACTTCCATCTCCTGTTGAACGCGAATTTGCTTCTGCGATGAGAATTGCTCAGTTATTGTCTCCAAACAAATTTTTGACACTCCTCAAATTGGTCGGACATCACTTCACTTCACCTACTTCAAAGATGCTTTCCAAACAATTTTCACAGCTTATCAGGTACTTCAATGTTTGGGATATCATTGAATGCAGACTTGAATCGAACTTGAATTTGACAAATCCACTTTCATGGCATTTGATTGTTCTTTCTTTAGAAATCATGCCATATCAAAAGAGAATGGACATGGTCAATTCATTTACATCTGAATTATTCTCAATTTTCGATTCATTGTCAATAGAAAGTGATGATTTCATCAATTTGATTTCGACATTTCCTGCAACAGCTTTTGATTGGTCGACAAAACTTTCAAATAACATTTTACATCCTTTGAATAGAGAAATGACAAAACGTGGAACACAAAGAGTTTTCGAGATTTTGGCAAAGAAATTAAAGAAAGTCAAACTCGGAAACACAACAATCCAAACGAACGTAAGAAACATGACAATCTCATGTGTTTACGTCGAAGATGCAGCGAGTGTTCCAATAAAAATGGATATAACTCTTCCTGACATTTATCCATTCAGGAGAGAAAAAGTTTCTTGCAATATTGATAAAGGTGAGAATTCTAGTGATTTGAGATCAAGAGTTGCTGCTGCAATCATTCAAGGACAAGGTGTGGAAGCAGGTATTAGATCATGGCATAATTATATTGTTAAGGAATTGCAGGAAAAGGAACCATGTACAATTTGTTATTCATATTTGGACGATCAACAAAGAATTCCGAAGGTCAAGTGTTCTGTTTGCGGTCAAAAGTTCCACGGTGCTTGTTTGTCAAAGTGGTTCGCTCACTGCTTACAGCCTACTTGCCCATTCTGTGCTTCTCCTTGGAAACCAAAAGGTTAAAAATAAAATTATAAATGTAACTTTTTTTAATTTTAAACTTCATTTTTTGACATTTTTAGTAGTGCACTTACCTTTCTGACACACTCAGATAAAAAAATTTTATCTTTTTTGTAATAACAAAAAGTATAACATCTATATTAGGTACTATAACAGCTTTTCGCTTGATCAATTAGGACATAAAGTTAGAGATGCCAAACAAATTGAGAATGATTAATTGATCTTAATTGAATTCTTTTATGTCAGAAATTGAAATAGAACCATTAGGAGAATAGTACTATTAACAAAATCACATGATCTTAATTGAATTCTTTTATCACAATTTTTCTGAAGGTTGGGACTCGAGATTTTGGAACTACAATCGATTTTTGTCAGAATGAAAATTGGAACACTATAGAATGAAATGCGGCTCATTTACTTTTCGCTGAATAATAGTTTTATTGAATTATTTTTATTCAATTTACAGTCATTTCCTGAACAATATAACATCTGAGCAAGAATACAAATAGTTTGATTGAAAAAGATACTATCTACATGATCTAAGGTGTAATTAAATTGGTAAAAAATGGGGTTGGCGTCCTAAGGCGTCCTAGTGTAAATTTCTCAAAATTGTGATATTTACATCACATTTTTGAGAGGTTTATGGGCGTCCTAAGGGAAAATTGAATAGCTAGGGCGTCCCGAATTTTCATTCTAAGATTTAAATATATTATATACTTAAGTATAATACAAGCAATATAAAAATTAAATTTTTATTATGTTAACTTATAAGAAATTTTTTTGAATTATCGTTGATTTATTGTAATCTTTTCAGGCTATACTTTTGAAATCAACTTTACCTGTCATACGCATTAATGTCGTAGATGTCCAGGTGTAGCTATTATATCCCAGCAACATTGGTATTTTATCATTGTAAGATATCCAAATGAAGCATTTTTTCAGATATAATTTTTCGTAAATTTTTCAAAAATAAGATGGTAAAAAAGCCTCGACTTGCTCGAAAAATAACATTTTTTTACTTGTAAAAATAACCCTTTTACAGCATGGGCAGCTAATCACTATTTCTTTTTCTAAAAGTATATTTTTCAAAAAAAATTAAGATCAAATTCGACAATTTCTTGATGAAAGCAAAAATATTACACATACTTCTAGATGCATGGGATAAAATATGCAATTATTCATTCAATTCGCATGATTTGAAAAAAAAATCTAAATTTGATAAAAATGTAGAAATTTTTTATTTTTAACTTGAGATTCGATTTTTTTTGATCCAATTTGTGAATTTTTTTTGATCGGAATTTCAATTAATTTGTTGATCAAAAATGACCTCACAATGTTTGATCATAAGTGAAGTCATCTTCATGGGTATTTAGAAATTCCAAGAGAAATTGCTTATTTCTCGCAGATGTAATATCTGAGAAAATCGAATTTAAATATTCATAGAAACCCAAATCATTCTCCGGTTCGAATAATTCATCTGTTGCTTTTTCTGTTTTTTCTATGAATTTTAATAATTTGATTAATAAATCTTCATCAGGAAGAATTATTGCTGCATTTGTGTGATAAATTCCATATTGAGGTAATATGGCAATAATTACATTTATAAAATGTAATTTTATCCAAATTTTTTTGGCAAATTCGCATAATAGCATTAATATTTGAAGCTGAGATTAAACCTGTGATTACTTCTGTAACTTTTGGAAAATCATCGCAATTTAATATCTCTTTATATTGAATTGAGAAATAAAAAAAAAATCAAATGGATTCATTTCTTCAATTTCAAGGAGATTGTAAAAATTGATAGAAGTGTTATTGCAACAAATTGTATTTGCAGCAAAAAATATCATTTGCTTGATTCCATTTTTGGAATAAATTTGCTGGAACAATGTTAAATTAAAACAGTTGCTTAATTTTTTCATTGTTTTCATAAAAAAGTAACAAGTTTGCAACTGAAATTTCAAAATTTTGATAATTGCCAGTTATTTCAGTAAATATATATATTTGCTTTTCTTCATCTAAAAATGGCAAATATTGATTTGCAATATTAACTAAAGTTTGGGATAAATTGTTCCAGTTTGATTTTACAATTTGTGAGCACATTATGTAATATGTAAATTTATCCGCTTTGTAGGAATTTAAAATTGTTTGTTGTTCTGTTTCAGTTAAATTACTGAATTTTTCAAGATTAATATTGTGATAAAAAATAGAATCCTTGAAACATTCTGATATCTTTTCAATGTTTAAAAGGATGCTAAAAAATGTAAAAGAACTTCATCAGTCACTGTGATTTTTTTGAAAAATTTATCCCAATTCAAGCATCCAATTGATCTTTCTGTCATTGTACTTATGCATTGATAAAGTTGATTTAATGAATCCGAAGAATAATCATTATGCTTGACTAGTTGAGTTAGTTGATACAGACTGTCGTCAGCCATTTTAAAAAAATGAATAAAATTGTATAGTAAATTATATTTGTGAAATTTGTGACGCTACATTCAATCTAAGACCAATATCTCAAGAATTCCTCATTTAAGTATTACTTTTCATTGTTTTTTAAAAAATATCTTTGCTTATTTGTTCACTTTTTTGACATTTATTATATGCTTTTTATCATATTTCCGATGATATGAATATATATTCTATATAAGAATGACGCTACATTCAATCTAAGACCAATATCTCAAAGAATTCCTCATTTAAGTATTACTTTTCATTGTTTTTTAAAAAATATCTTTGCTTATTTGTTCACTTTTTTGACATTTATTATATGCTTTTTATCATATTTCCGATGATATGAATATATATTCTATATAAGAATGACGCTACATTCAATCTAAGACCAATATCTCAAAGAATTCCTCATTTAAGTATTACTTTTCATTGTTTTTTAAAAAATATCTTTGCTTATTTGTTCACTTTTTTGACATTTATTATATGCTTTTTATCATATTTCCGATGATATGAATATATATTCTATATAAGAATGACGCTACATTCAATCTAAGACCAATATCTCAAAGAATTCTCATTTAAGTATTACTTTTCATTTTTGATTCAATTTTCGAACGGTTTTCGTAAATTTTGCATCATTTCATTTTTTAATGGGAAAATCATCTATATTTAATCAAAAAAGAGCAAACTTTACAGACGAAAATAAAATATTTATCAGGGAACAATCTGATAAATACCAAAAATCAACATCGAGAGATGAAAAAACGAATATAATCAAACAAGTTCTTCAATATTTTAATATTAAATACGCCGAAAATGAATCTAAAGCTGTCAGAAGATATTTTAGTTATATTGCAGTTAAAAATATTCCCGCAGTTACTGGAAAATATCCTGATACAATTGTTCGCAAAGATATGCTTTATTCGCATGATCATACAAATATTATTAATTCAAATAATATTGAACGTTACTACCGTTGCATCGATCATTCTTGTCAAGCACGTTATTTAGTTAAAATTGAGAACAGTTCAGTTTCCGAAGATTTACAAAAGGAACATATACCCGAATGCAGACAATTTAAAAAGTTACAAAATGAAAAAAATGATCTTCATAAATCAATGACTCTGACAGAAATATACAATAAGGCAATGGCAAAATTTTCTGAAGACAACGGCACTTTTCAGCAGATTAAAAAATTTATGACAGAACTTGCTGTTGGTACTGATGAAAACCCATTAATTAAAGATTCATTGGTCAGGGAAGTTTATAATAAGTCCAGAAAATTTTCTGTTGGAGAAAAAATTACAGACGATGAAATTGCTAATTTTTGTTTAATAAATGGCGAGCAGTTTTTCATTGGCCATGATTTTCAAGCAAATTGTGAGACGATGTTTTTTGGTTTTGAGAAGGCAATTCAATTTGCAAAAGAAGCCACAGATTTATTTTGCGATGGAACTTTTAAAATTACACCAAAACATTTTCAAAAAGGACAGATGCTAACAATTATGATTTGTGAACCTTCAACAAATCATTATCTACCACTTTTATTTATATTCATGAAAAACCGCACATTTGAATCTTATAAGAAGGCATTTGAATATATTTTTACTGTCAAGGGATTTCAATTTTCAAAGCTAATTCAAATTCATTGTGATTTTGAAAAGGGAATGATAGAGGCACTTCAACAAATTTTCCCTAAAGTCCGTATAATTGGATGCCTATTTCATTTCAAACAAGCTTTACACAGGAAAACTTGTAGCACTTTATATACAAAAAATTTCAATACTTTACAAAATTCTTTATTAAGCTATATTCTATTACTCCATTCATGTCTCATGAAGAATTTGTACTTACAATGCATATAATTAATCAAAATAAAGTTGATTCGATCAAAGATTATATTGATATTTCAACAAAGTTTGGTTGCCGCACTACAATTTAATATCTCAATATAATAATGCAACTGCAATATTCACTAATGATTGCCTCGAGAGTATGCATTCAGAATTTTCTTCGTTAAAACATCCAAACATTTATGAAGCTATTAAGAAGATATCTCAAATCCAATTAGATAAATATAACGCATCAAAAATAACCAGAAGATCGAGCGCCATATAAAAACCGTTATCACTGATAGCTACAAAAATTATATTCTTGACTGCTTTCAAAAAGAACTTGAGAAAAAAATTTTTCTATCAAACAATACAACGTAAGTGATCTTTCTTTGGCTCAGAACGAGATTTCTCCATATGGTTCCATAGAATCGAGTTCATTGTTCGAAAATATTCCAGTTCATGATGCAGATATACTCAAATCGATCGATCTAACAGATAAAGATACAATGATCACTAAGTTTTATTAATGAAAAAAGAGAAAAAATTATGGCATTATTTAATGAAACATTAAATCATCCAGATTTTAATTCATCAGTTAGTATGGTTATCTCGTGTACGGAGGCACTGCGTTCCTCCGTACGCAATACTTGTGAATTTGACACTTTACAAAACCGTTAACGTATATTTTACAACACAAACACAAACACCAACTTAACC